GGCCTACGTTACTAAGATTTTCTATATATGTTCATGCGTCCGTTGGCCGCCGAGAAAACGTTGCGATGCGGGGAAAGTGACACACTTCAAGGTGTGCGCGACTACTAGACTGAACGGGGAAGCAAAAAAGAAATGCCTAAGCTATGGCCTAAAAAATGAGATGTTATTACAAGGCCTCAGGCCTAGACTTTACAACAAAATTTGTCAGGGTCATACATGAACTAACTCTGGTATGATTCCAATTAATTTCCAATATTTATAGCTCTGTAATTCCTGTAAACCGGAAGGATTATATCTGTGATTCGCACACCAAACCTCGCGATCGCGAAGCTCGCACGCGGGTCTCGCTCTCCCGGCAACAAACAGATATGACCTACGTTGACCTAAATGTTGACCAATCATAATCAAGAAAAGTTTGAAAACCGCAGTACGTACCGTGTAAAAGTCTACTTTCAAATACTGCTGAACTTTTGGTTATAAAAAACATCTATGTACGTCCTATTTTGGTAAACTTTTAGTATGTTGTTTTACATATAATTAAGTTTATATTTAGACCATAAAACGTTTTGTTGCAATTTTGTCCAGTCAAATCCGTATTTCCGGTGGACTAATAATGATGAAGTTATTTGTGATAAAAGTAAGACAGATACATTTGAACAACATAAGCAAATTGACACAGAGAAAGATGACAGTGTAACCAATTGTGAAAATATTCAAAACAGACCAGTAAGAGAGAGGAAAAAACCCAAAGGTTTGGTGATTGTTAAGGATTAAGAAGTCACAGTTCATATTGATGATTTTTTTTAGTTTTACTAGAATTTGAGAATTCTTTTGAAATGTTGAAAGCTGTTATTGTTGTTATACAGTGTTATTTATTGATACTAAAATATTTTAAAATGATAAGGGATGACAGAAAATGAAAAAATAATGATATGTGATTTTTTTAAAAGCAAAGATATAATCATTTAAAATTGTAATATTACGATGATGTTTATTATTGTTAAAGTTAAAAAAAAGAAGGAAACTGACAGTGTTTTAGGCAGTGAGAAAAAAACAAATACAGTAATCTTTAGTATCATAACAAATGAAACCTAGTCAAAGCATGTAATTCCACAAGCTTATATTAAGAAATTATTATTGTGTACAATATATTTATATGGGTTCAATTGGGTGATTTTAATGCTAAAGAAGGGGGAAGATGTAGTGTCTGGATTACAAGACTAGCATACCTCGTGTGTTGTTGGGACATGTTGTTAAATCAGGACTGGTGGATGAATAAACAATGAATGGCTATTGTACAGCTGGAATATTGTTTATTGTGTCATTTAATTGTGTTTGTTTGAATACGATATCAACACACAACACACCCGATCTCCATTCAGGCAACTTGTCAATTGCCCATCGACTCCCAGCCTCATACGTTTTACAGTCCCCGTCGTTTTACAGTTAAAACGCATTAGAGATGTTTTAATTTCTTCGTCTGCTACTGATAGTGGTAGGTATTTTACAACAATATGGGTAGCATCCGTATCGTACGGTAGGTATGGGTTCCTATCATATATTGTCACATTCCTTCCTCGGATGTTTACGCCAGTTGTTATTAGGCAAACTCTGTCTTGATGTAAGTCTATATAAGGTCTCCATAAATTCTTAATGCGCTGTATACCTGTTATATTTCGGCATTCAACTGTTTTCAATAATGCTTTATATATATCCTGAGGTTCCACATACGAATCTGCTGTTGTGTTCACCTCCTCATCAACCTTCATGAACACTGGTTTCACCTTATTAGCAACGTCACGGGTACCCCCGTCTGAGGTCACATGATCTTTAGGCGGGACGTTAGAGCTGTCAATCGTTGTCATTTTTTAAGCAGAGAATTCGTACACTTTTTAACAAGAAATTGAAATACGTTTTACCTAACGAGAATGATGATGACGACGACAACTACAGCACAAAGGCGTTCAGTTTATATTTCAGTTCCACCAGAACACCAACAATGACAACTAGAGCACCAGTGTAGTAGTAGTAAAACTTCATTTTGGCCTATTCACGAGGTACAAATCAACAAATATAATGCTGTTTTTTATTACGATAAAATTCGATACGACTTTTATTTTCCATCAGAATTCAATAAAATACAATAAAAATACAGTACATCATGACAATAAATGAGATAAGGATGGTCCGAGGAGATACAACGAAAAGCAAACAGATACCTTATTTACAATTAACATAAATTACACAGTACGGTACATAGTATCCAAAAGTTAAACGCAGAAATTAAATAATATAGATACAAAACATAATTATTGTACAGTAAGCAAAGGTCAACAATTTAGTAAAACAAAGGTAATCTATAGCAACAATGGCAAAATAAATTATGGATATGAAGAAAATCCACTCCACCCAAGTAAACTGTAAATTACAAAAAAAGTAAGATATTAATAAAACAAAGCAAGAAAACATAGGTCCATGCTTATACAATGTTTATACTATTATACTTTGTTTTCAATAATTATCAATACAAATGTGGTTCTTGAAAACACTTAAATTGATAAAAGACTGTACACCAGGGCTTAATTTGTTCCATTCGATATCACTATCATATGAAATACTTTTTTTAAATTAGTCTCATGCATGAGTTTGCCTTGATTCCCGTTAGAAGGACGGGTACACAGCTAGTTACGTATAATTTCCTATAAGAGAATACTGTGATTGTAATCTACCATTAAACCGCAGAATGAATCTGTGAGCAAATTTCACAAATGAAGACAAATTACTAATAATCATGTGGCTTGTATTGAATCAAGTATAATAATAAGCCGGAGGGCGGTAGGCATGTTCTGACATCACTTTCCTCTTTTTGGAGGAAATGATTATATCGTTTACAAAGCATTTTCGTCATTGTGGTCACCGATCATTTAGTTGTTGTAGGTTTTAGAATTGATTTGTGTGTCATGTTTATATTTGTTGAGGCTGTGTGAAAAACGTGTTCTACCAAAATAAGAAAGTATAGTATAATGCATACTCCCAGTATGTTGGGATTCATTTCGACATTAATCACGTCATCATCAGGAATAAAAATAATAATATTTATTTGGAAATCGCTGTTGAAACACCGGCGCCCTTTACAGGATGGTGCATTCATAAACAAGTAAAAAAATACAAATACATCAATCAATGAAAAAAAAAACAACTTTAAAGCGATGGTAATTATTATTGTCTTGATGGAATAGACGATAACTGGATTTGCGTCAGGGAAAACATGTATAGGTGTAAATTTGAGCACTGAGTACGTCAGGTAGGGCAAAATTACACCTATACAACTTTAAAGCGATTTACATATCAAAAGGGTGGCCAAAACAACCTCATGCATTGAGAATCACTCAAGCACAGTTGACAGCTTATTGTTCAACTCTAAATGCAAAGACTGAGCTTTGGTTAAGTAATACTAGGTAGAAAAAAGGGGAATCCATTTCTTTCTTTGCATTGTACAAGGTCTTGGCCACGATGGATATTCTTTCTTTCTATTCTTTCTACATGCCGTGGTGAATTAAAATAGAAAGACTGTAGTTAAGGTTAGTGTCAAGCCAGCTCCACCAATCAACACCTCGAATTTATAAAAGGTTGTCGAAACTATTACAGCCTACTGCCTGCTGGAAATGGAATCATTTGAGCAATTTGATTCTGTTTTGCACTGCTTAGGAAGTGCCATGTCCGTCAGTAGGCCTACCAGTGCAGAGCCCCATAAAAGTCAAAATAAGGAGATAGAACACAATGGAAATGATCACGATAAACACCCATATTCGAATGCTACCTTTGTGTCGCGGCTGTTCTTTTGGTAAGAAATTTTACTTGTTTTGACAGAATTTGCGCCAATTTTACCATTGACGGTAGTGACCGTTTATCGAAATAAAAGAAATGTATTTGTGACTGGCATTTAAAAAACTCTATCATATGCAAATTCACCATATATAGTCTAAGTTATACTACCGTCATTCACGGCTGCATATCTCTACATTGAATGATGTAAGTCTACTACGGCTGCTTAAGTCTACAATCCTATTGTATATTTATTGCTTATTGTTATTTAAAAGAAGCCTACGGTGTGGTCAATAGAAGAAGGCAATAAAATACTTTCATTGTCTCAATTACCAAGTTTTCAATAAAATAGTATTTAATATACTCTTTTGTGATTTTATGAGTTAATGTTTATTTTGATCTTGTTTCGTATTTTAATGAGTATATGTAATAAATCAAAATACAGTACTATATACATTGCAAGCAAAAAAAGATACCGAAAAACAACTAAACTAATAACTACGTAACGTGTGATTATGCGTATGCCTTCATACGCAATCATTCACTATGAATATCAATCTAAAAATGTGCTATATATTATTTCTCCTTATATACATTTCATTATATTCATTGATTTCTGAACTGTATAATAAATAAAACTATTAACTATAACTATTACTATAACTATTTAAAACTAGTCATAATGATATCATGCGTTACATTATTTTAAACTTAAACATATACTTGTATATTCCTACATCCATTTTCTATTCCACAATTGTTTAAATTATATAGGACCCATCTTACTATATTTTATTTCCTGTTTAATTACTGTAGTTTATTCACGCGTAAGTCTAGCATTAACCCGGCTCAAAAACACCTCTAATAAACTATTGGTTTACATAATCATTGTGTATTTTGCCGTCATAAGTTTTCTCACTTCAACGTCGATAAAGATAGCAGGAGCTATCGAAATATCCGGTTGATTTTGTTATATTTTAATAAACTTGTGTTCTGCAAGTCAACATTCAATGATTGTATATATTATACAATGATGTATATATATATATACATATACATATATATAAATATATACATATATAAATATATAAATATACATATATATACAAAATGTATGAAATATACGTGGAAAAAAACTATATAGTTAGTCCAATCTCAGAACTATATGTGAAAGTAATAAAGTAATACGAGATTACAAAATAAAATAAGCGAAACTAGGTATTCAAGGGGTCAAATCTTTACAAGATACCTAATGTAATATTCTGGCGGTACAGTCTAGGGTCTAAACATGATAAATACTGTAGATTACTGACAAAATAAATGACATATTCTATAACCTAAAAAATAAATATAAATATATACATATAAATATAAATATATAAAGCACACGTGTAATAATAGGAGAAACGAAAAGGGCGAAATATTCAAGAAGTCCAATCATATGCATATACATGGTAAATAGTATAATTATTGAAAGTTAGTAAATGTGTAATTTTTGTCTATATAT